GTGTGTTTTTCAAAAAACAATAAAACATTATTTTTAGACTATGCCTACCTTATAAATGAAGAAAGGTGTGGTGTGAGAAAATGCCCTTTCTCGTTTTTTACGAGTGCTAACAATAGTAGGTTGTTGACGTGACATTGAAAAACATCTATGACCCAACAACAATCCCAAACAAAGAAAAAATGCCATTTTTTGAAAAACAACATACCAATGCAACATTGTTTTCTCATAAAATAGCTTAGCATTGGAGAAACAACATCAATTCCAAACATTACCTTTGTCGACACTCTATATGTAAGAGAATGTAAGGTAGGAGATAATGTGATTTCCTACTTTATATGAGAGAGATTTGAGGTAGGTGGGTTATGGTGCAAGTATTTGCATTTGAACTCTTCCAATTTGAAAACGGTACAAATACAAATACATACAAAATATAAGGTTTTATGCTCTACATATTTGTATTTTTACTCCTTTCAAATTGAGCATGGAACAAATTTTGCAATGTTAAAAAATATAAAAATGAGAAAAATTATGGGTTTTATATTAGATAAAAGTGAAAATCATGATCACAAACACACTGGTGCAAAATTGGACCAGGTGCAAAATATGTGTATCCAGTTCAGATTTGCATTGCAAACCTATAAAACCTTAATAAGGAACTCAGAAAATAAAAAACAATGTATAATGAATTTAGACCAAGGGTTTTCCACTATAAATAAGTAATATCCTAATGTTCTAATAAACCTAATTCTTATGATCAAAGCATTTAAATTGTGGAGGTCTTCCTTCTCATTGCTATTTGCGACATAAGTTTCATTACTCTCCTTCTTTTCATTCCTCCTTTCGTATATTCGTGCTTATGTCCTCATACTGTGAAGTCCCTAAATCTGTCTAGTTCATAATCATCATCATCCTTGTAGCATTTTGTTGCTTCTTCTTCCTCCTCATCATCATGCTCGTAGTTTTTCATTCCTTTCTAACAACGTTGTGGTGGTAGAGGTCACAATGCTAATACTATTTTATTTTTTCCTCTCTATCTCACCATCTTTTCCAATTCCATTAATAAATGCATCCGGTTTTATTGCTTATTCTTCTTCATCATCGTCATGCTCGTAGTTTTTTCATTCGTTTCTAACGATGTTGTGGTGGTAGATGTTGCGATGTTGGTACTATTTTATTCTTTATTCTCTACTTCACCATCTTCTCCAATTCCATTGTTAAGTGCATCTAGTTCCAATCTAAGAAAACCAATAGGCATCTGCAAGTAGAATTGATCTTCATCTGTCTTGCTTTTAATAAACAAATCCATTTATGGTGAAAATTTTTTGTTTTCTCCATCTTTTCACTTTTCTTTATTTTATTTATTAGAGAGATGAGGTATATTTCGTGATGCCTAGATAATATCATGGTCATTTTCTCTTCTGATTAAAGTTTTTTACTTTTGTTTTTTGATAACCCAAATAGAGTTTTTATTATAATAGTTGTCTAACTCTCGAAACCATCTCACTATATTTCTAATTTTTCAAACGCTTTTTGACTCATATCTTGTTAATGTTTTTTCCTTGCCACTTTGCAACTAAAGTTCAATTTGTTCAATCTTTCTCTGTGTCCTCCTATTTCATTGATTGGGTTTACAGTTCTATTTATCATAAAACCTCCCCTAAGGTTTTATTTTAAAAATAAATAAATAAACTCCCCTATAGTTTCCTTACTTTCACCATTGTCCCAAAAACCTATCATAATAAATATAGGAAATAAACTTATTTTCACAATTGCTTTGTACGTGGTAGTTCTAGATGATGATAATAATACATCTAAACTTTTTTATAAACTTTATGTATTTTTTATTTTTTTGTTTTTATTATTAATCAGATGCAAATTGCAAAATCTAAATTTGATTACAAAAAACACTTCATGCAAATATGTGATAATTGGGTTGAGCTATAAAGTTTTAAGTATCATTGGCAGGCCTTCCTGCTTGGCAAACTTCTTTTTGTAGGGATTTTTATTTTTTGGTGTATCGTTTTTTCTTTTCTTCATTTATTAAAAAATGGAAGATTTAAATAGAGGGAATTGAATGAAGTGAAAAGTAGTAATTCAATTTACAATTTAAACCTTACAATTAGGTAGGGACTAAATTCAAAATGTGTATTTTAGTGAAAAGAAAGTTCCACAATATAAACCATATTTTTAATAGTAGTATATGTATAGAATTATAGATGTGTTTGTTCAATTTTTTTTTTATATTTTCTTTTGTATTTTTGTGTCTAGAAGTAATTCTAATATGTTACAATTACATGTTGTTTAATATGATAAATATATGATATTATACATGTGCCTAAATGTTTTTTTTTTTGCAAACTTTATATTTTTTATATTACTTAGTTATTTATAAGAAAGAATAAGCACTACTTCAACTACTACAACATTATCATAAATGAGCGAAAAAGTACGAGCATGATGGTGAAGAAGAATAATGAACAAAACACTACAAGGGTGATGATGAAGAAATGAATTGGACAAATTCAAGGACTTCACACCATGTGATACAAGCACAAACATAGGAAATGAGGAATAAAAGGAAGAAGAGTAAGGAAACTTATGTCACCAATAACAACTGAAAACCAAAACTGCTAGCAATCGATTTCAACCGTGTTTGAGATTTAATTTGCAAAACATATCTATATGATTATATATATATATGTGTGTGTGTGTGTGTGTGTGTGTGTGTGTGTGTGTGTGTGTGTATGTGTATGTATATGATATTTTAAGAAAAGTGTTTGCGAAAAGGTTTTAATTCCCGGGACCTATTTGAGTAAAGAGTGCAACATTGCACCTTGCAGCTAGGGGAGAGGTCATTCCCTGTCGGGCAATGTTTGGTCATATRGGTTGAGAGGTTAAGTGTAAGAGACCATTAAGGGTTGTTTTACCTGATGGGCTATATCTCACTTAAGTCTATTCTCCTTGGGCTTTTATATGATGGCTGGACTCAATGATCATTTACTGTAAATGTTGGACCCATTAAGAGCCCATATTAATGTACTCAGGGGTTCATTGTGCTTGATAATGAATTCGGCCAAGCCTTTTCACATAGGCTGGAGCCGAACCCATGTGGGCTTATGTGATGTCATTATTGGGGTCCCACGCCATACAAAATGAACCTAAATGGGCCAGTAACTACCTAGGGACGTGAGTCACTTGCTTATTGGGCATAAAGCCCAAGATTAATTGAATTAATTAGGGTGTCACATGACAACTTAAGGAGTCATGTGATTTGGGCAAATATGGTTTGGATATGGGTCTAGAACAACCATTAGGATGAGAGGATAAGTCTTATCCACTTAGAGAGTCAAAATCCAAATAAAGATTTGGATTATGAACCTCCAATTTGGTTAGGAGTGGTGATCATTAAGGCTAAGAAAAGAGGATATTGAATTTGCTCAAATTTACCATTCTCTCTGTTATTGCCGCCCCATAAACCCTAATTCGATCTCCCCTTGTTGGATTGATCTTGATCAGTTCCACCTCTGATTTTTGCAAGAAAAATACAAAGAAAATTCATGCTCACCTCCCTTGTACGATCCAAGGTGTTGGATTGCAATTTTGCTGAAAAGTGCGTTTCTGAACTGGCTCCAATTCAAGCTGTGCCATATTCAGTGGAAGCTGGTTTTGGGATTCAGTTTGGGCGTGAACTACCACTTTGGGAGCTACATTTGTGGAATTTGTATCAGGTATACTTCTCACTTCCTTTTGGTTTCAGATCTGGTCCGGTTTTGGTGCAAGAACGATCATTGAAAAATGCCATTTTTTTTTCTAAAACTAGGAATACAATTCTCGAAAGGCTGCAAGAAATTTTTGAAATTTCGCCCGACCATCTGGCATGGTTTGGACATCCATATGATGGATTTCACCTTCCTTCAGTGGTATCAAAGCCAAAGGTTTAATCTTGAACCGAAATAAATCAGATCTAAAACAAGACTGAAATCGGCTGAACTGTTATGGTTGATTTGTGCAGTTTGCAGTTCTTTGAGAAATCGATTCTTAGGTTTTGGGCAATTTGATTTGAAATTAATTTTATTATATTCTAATATAATTTTAGAATTGTTCTATTGTATTTTCTTTGGTTCTTGGGCTGTTGTGTGATGGAGATCAAATTCTTTATTAACGCCAAGATATGCGCACCCAGGAAATTATTTATTTGATTATTGGTCTGTAAATATTAATTTTCTTTTTAGAAAAAAATGTATTAGGATTTATTATGATGTAATTAATAGAAAATTATTTTTTTTTTTTTTTACATTGGAAGACTTGTTGGAGCGCACCGAGAAGGAGAATGAAGATTTTGCAAAAATTCTTGCAGGTTTGCAGTTTGTTTGGATCAGATTCAGACCATCACACTTGCAGCCCTAGATTATTATTTATTTGTTGTGATTGATTGTCAATTTTTCGACTGTTAACACTCTATGCTTGTCTTTGTATTTCTACTCCTTGAAACTAAGCCTCAACTTAACTAAAAACATCCGATAAAGTAGTAATAGGTCTATCAATGGGTCAAGCCCGGCCCGACGGGCCCAAACCGATTGGGCCGGTTCTGATATCGGGAGCTGGAACTGACAGGTCGGTTTCGAGTCCTGATATAGGGTCCCGATTACTATCAATTCGGAATTGGTTCTACATAGTCCTGAACCGGTTCAGATATGACCCGATATATATAATGATTAATATATTAAATAAATTATATATATATATATATTTAATATATATTAACAATTTTTTTTGTTTATTATAATCGGGTCTGACCCGACAGACCTGATTGTCATGAGAACCGATTGGTTAGGGATCGGGGTCCAAAATTGCAGACCATATCGGACCCGGTCCGGCCCGGGTCCTCAACATTTAATGTTGCGTCAGTTTCGCTTCCAGCCGGTTCCGACCCACACCCGACCCGTTGACAGCCATAGATAAAAGCATCACCCTTACACCCTTCTCCCTTTCAGTGGCTCTCACCCCATCGCCGTTCCAACCAAATACCAACGCGTACCTATTCTTGTTCACCACCGGCGTAGCAGACCGGCCAACTAACACAGCTACAGGTAACGAAGCAATGTTTTTTCATTTCCTCTTTTTAATTCATTTATCCACATGGTAAACGATCCGTTCTCAATGCACTATGCTCTGGTCTTCTAAATTTGGAGTTTCTGCTGTGTTGTGTTATTGTATTTGAAAGATTTCAAACCACAACCTAAGAGTAAGAATAAGAAACTAAACTGGAAGCACTGAAAAAATATGGGTCCTACCTTTCGTACATACAATCCAAAATTGCTGAGGTGTTACATACCGGACGACTGAGAAGGATTTCAAAAAGAACGAGATTAGAGCATTGAGCAAGGGGTGCAGAAGAAAGAAATAGTCGAGAGCTTCTTTTTCATTGTTATTTTCTGACATGATTGTAATATTCTGGAAGTTTAACCTAAGTTCTAACCGAGTCAGTTTTGCTTCGGTTGCCAGGGAAGTGAAAGTGTTTCGGGAAACCATGGGACTAAGGGCCAATTGAACTAGCCGGTGGCCAACCAATAATGCCATGCTTATGAGCGTGGTTAGTCATTGAGTTGACTCCCTGCAAGGCTTTCTAAACTGAGTCAAAAAGCTTGAGTCACTGAACTATATTAGGTTAGATACGAAATACGAATATAATTTTTTGTTTTTGTAAATTTTTGTTAGTTGATTTGATTTTCAAGCATTTTTTTATGGTAAGATAAATTTATGCTGGTATCTCTCTAACTTCCCTGAATTCCTTATGAATGGTCAGCCAAGAATATGCCTGGTCCAATCCCTGGATCACCTTAGCTTTGAGATAACTATAAAAAGAATTCAATTATCAATGCCGGTCCTGACCTTCTCTGGTGTTGGGAGGGCTGGACTGGTAATGGACGTAACATATGACGTTTTCTCATGTGCTGGAGGCTCTCAGACTTTAATCTGTTATCTGATGCTTGTCATCTAGAGATTTAACCATCATACTAAGCAATGGAGAAGCATGCATAGAAAAAATTCCTGAATTTGGTTTAAGCCCAAATTGTTTAGGCCCCATTTGGTGTGTCTTTCCACACAGTCTGTCTGCTATTTAGAAGCCTGGCAGACTGAGTTGTGGTCTTTTTCTGTTTGGTTCGCAAGAGATCTAGCTGCTAAAAGACATTGCGCCAAAAAGATGTGCGAAGCCCGTTTTGGGCTATCTTTGGGAAGCTCCATTGCTCCAAATGGAGCTTTTTGTTTTTTTTTTTTTGTTTTTTCCAACTTATCTTCGCGCGGGAAGACACACCTTAAGCAAATGGTCTTTAGGCTGTCAAATTCTTGATGCAAAAGCTGACTAGATAATGACTAGAAAATTTGATATGATATTGTCCTATTTCTTAATACCAGCCACTAGCCATGCAAAAACTTCCCCAACTATGGGAGCACCATCTAACAAGAAAGATTTCCATGTGGTGGATCCATATAAGTGAACCTTAGTTTTTAAGAAAAAAGATAAATGGTCATTTTTTCCAACCTTTTTTTGCATATAATTGGTTAATTGTTGCTCATAATTTTAGGCTTTGAGATGTTGGGGTATCTTCAAGGGCTACTATGGCTTCTCCTTGGAAGTCCATTCATGGAGTGCTTCCTCAGTTTCTAGGCCTTATTAGGAATGATGTTTGTTTTGGAGATAAGGTTCTTTTTTGGGAGGATCTTTGGATTGGCAACTTTTCCCTTAAAGATCTCCTTCCTTCCTTGTACTCCCTTTCTTTGTTAAAAAAGGAACCGATATGTCGTTTTGTGTCCTATTCCTTGTTGGTCAATTTCAGTTGGAATTTGGGCCTAAGGAGAGATCTGAGAGACTATAAGTTTGATAAGGCAGCCTCACTTCTACAAGTTCTTGATTCTGTTTTTTCTGGACTTTTCTTTGCCATATGGTTGTATTTGGACTCCTCATCCCAAGGGAGTGTTTTCCTGCGCCTCTTTCTTCTCTTCTTTATGTTCAACCCCCAACCCTCAACCTTGTCCTGTGAAAGAAATTTGGTCTAAACCCATTCTTCCCAAGGTTGGGGCTTTGTGTTTGGAAGTCTTTCATGGAAAAATTAATACTTTAGTTGCTTTTCAAAAAAGAAGACCTTATTTGTGTATCTCCCCAAATTGGTGTACCATTTGCAAAGCAAATGGAGATAGTTGTTACCGCCTTCTAATCTCCTGCCCCTTTGTTGTAGGTATTTGGGAAAAGATTTTTCGTCTTTTTGGTAATAAGTAGAGTGTGCCCCTAAAGATTGGAAACCTTTTTGACCCAATGATCTTCAGTTGGCCGAGGAGGAGTGGTAAAGTCATGTGAAGATGTGTTCGGGCTGTTATGATTTGGATGATATGGGAAGAGAGAGTTAGCAGAATTTTCAATGATAAGGAGAGAGTGAGGAGGTTGTGTTGGAATGCATAGTAAATAGGGTTATATATTGGGCTAAATCTCTAGCCCTATTCTCGGAATTCCCCTGTGATGATTTTTGGAGGAATTGGGAAGCTGTGGCAAGAAGTTCTAATGTGAGGGGCAGACCAGTTGCAGCTTGGAAACCTTTGGAAGTGTTATGGACACACCACCCGACAGGACACTGCGGCGCAGTCATAGGCAGCAGCACGCACAGCGGGCCGCCTAGTAGCACGCACCGCCCGGCAACGCGCACAGCAGCACTCACCGCCCGGCAACGCGCAACGCACACCGCCTGGCAGCACGCAGCATGCACCG